ATATAATAATAGTTATTAAATATTTAATTAAAATCTACAATTTAATGCATTTGGCAACTATTACCAATCAATTTTTTCAGTGCAAAATCTGTTTAAGCACTACTTAATATATAACTGAATATTAATTGGAAGCAAATTTTATTATTTTTTCTGTGTATATCTGATGTTTTAATCACGCGTTTTGCTATGATTATAAAACGTGAATCGTCAAAGTGGCAGTGGTACATTAGATTTCTGGCATCGTAGAGAAATAATGTTGTGTGTAACTCTGGCAATGTGTGTGAAGCAAAATTAATCTTCAAACTTATACTTTTCATGTAGCAAATGACGAAAAAAAGAACATAATAATGTATTTTTAATGAAGAGTGTGATAATAAGATAATTTCGGAACCTCTTGTGATTTATTTGTTATATAAGATGCTTTGTTTCACATCACACATCGCTGCTATTATTTGTTATTGTTCTCTAGTGTGATGCGTTGTTGTACGTAAATAAAGCATGTACACTCAAGCATGAGAAATACACGTGTATCTCACTCCGGTTGATTCTCAGCATCACTCAGTTTCATTCGCACACTAGATAATTATTACACTTAATAACAATGACAGGATGTATAATTCTCGAAAGGGAAAGTAAGGGCTCCCCCATTTTTTATATTAATTTATTTAACCGTACATATTAATTTTCTTATATAGGAGAGAGTTTTTCTCTTATTTTTCTAACATATTATAATAACGCGAATTTTATATTATTTTATTAACTATACCAAATAACATCTCTGTTATCACAATTAATTTTTAATTGCAGATTTGTCTTATTAACAAAAATTATATTTAATCGCCTTTCCTTAAAATTTATCAAATATATTAGATATAATTAATATAGCTTCTAACACAAAGTCGTATACTAAAAAAGTAGTTTTTTCCATTTTATTCTAACTTGCGATATTTTTATATCACTTGTCAATCTCCCAATTTCTTGCTATTTACGAGACTCAGTTTGAAATGATTTTCTATTTTATTTCAGAAATAAAAGCAAGGAAAAAGCATGCAGGTAAGAAATAATTCTTTTGGTGTCCGAGCGTTTTAGTAGAGACTAACTTGGCGCATGCAACAAGCTAAATAGATTACGTTAATACCATAACATAGCAGTTTTAATCTTCCCTCTTTTCGTCAAACTTGTAACTAAAATAATTCTGCTTATATAATTGCACAATATTAACTTCTATAATTTTTAAAAGGAGAGCGCCTTATATTCTCATATTTCTATAGTAGAATTAACGTAGCAAAATAAAAATGATCAAAGATACGCCTTCCTGTCATACACAATCGGCTATATTCTTTCAAAGTTATATTTACTAAGGTGAAGAGTAATGAGAGAGCCCCTTAAGCGCCATAATAGAACGATTGATTGAATATACAGAGAAAGATCTTGGTTTCCTACGAATTGGCTCGTTGAACGTTCGCGTGAAACGTACGACGGAAGCCTTCAGTCAGTTCCTGGGTGTGGCAACCAGCAGTACGACTAGCAGCAACAACGAGAAGATTCACAAGTCGTGGGGATCCGCGGATAACGTTCAGGTATCATTTTCTCTTCAACACGTCTCGCGTTACATTGAAATAATATATAATTTCTTAGTAGAGAAGTTTCTTTGATTAATATTAAAACATTCTGTACAAGATGGAATACACGCGAACATTCATAATTAAATAATAAAATCTGATTAATATATTCGCGATCGATAAAAAATATTTATGCTTTCTCTTTTTTTCAAATATGAAAGGCGAATGCAACAGATCGCGATAATTATAGACTAATAGCATATATATATATACACCACGTATTATTAACATCGTATATCTTATTCATTTTTTGCGTATCAAGCTGGACCAGAAGCTGATGCCACCGCCAAAATACGCACCTATTAAAAAACGCAAGAGCAGGCGGCCGCAAGACTTCGGCTCGTCGCAGGAGCGGCAGCAGGCTACCAGTCAGCCGACCACCCCGTTACTGCAGGGCAAGGTCAGCCGACCGAACCGGGCTATCCAGCGTCGACCGACGTCCACGACATCCGTCAGTTCCATCACCGCGTCCAACAACGTCCAGCAAAATGACTCGGACTCGGATACGGCGTGTGGCTTCGACTCTGCCTGGCGAGGATCCGCGCAACTGTAATTCGTCGTCATCGTGATTATTCGTACGCACAAGGTTGAGAAAGAAGCTTCAAGAAGTTTTTAGAAGGAACTAGCAATACCTTTTGGCAATTTTTTTCGCGTTGCAACGTCTACGCGAATGATATTAACGATTTTTATAAATATGACGATAAACATTTTTTGATTTTTCTTCATTTTGGACCGTTCTCTCTTCTGATTATTGTTTTGTCATATTCAATTATTATATTATATGATATAATATGCTTCTAATATAGAGATATTGTGCGGATCCGTTATAGATGTAGTTTATTTATCATAATTTCATCAGTGATATTTATTTAATTCATGTCTTCTTCAATAAGTTTATTAAGTTATGTGTATTTTTATATTTAAGTGGATGATTTGCAATGATAATTCTTGCGACGTTAAGCGTAGTATCGGTATTCTTCCTTATTTTTAAACTGAATTATATATAAGAATTTGATTTAAAATATATTTTATATACATATAAATACATCTCATGTATTTATATCTATGTATAAAATATATTTTTTATAATTATATATTGCATATGTATATTCGCGCGCGCATGCGCAAAGCTTAACTTAAAAAAGAAGGAAATACTTGATATATTTGAATACGCTTATCTATTGTAAAATATAAATCGGGAAAATAAATTTAAAATTAATGGAGCAAATCTTTTGTACTTTATCTTGAGATATGCAGTTTCTAAGCCTACGTTTCTTTGCCTTCACATTTTTATACCATAATATACGATATATTGTTTAGCATTTTCTAAACCAAATTTTTGCAACAATGCCTAATTTATTATATGATAATTAATGCAAACTAATTTATTATATCAAGAAAAAAATTTTTCAATGTATATTTATCAATAAGAAGTGTTAATAATTATATCGCAATTAAGCATACAGGAATAAATTATTATCTGACTAGAATGGTTTTTATTTATATCTTATTTTTGTAATATGTAATATGTATAAAAGCAATAAAAAATATTATATATATATGGACATATTTTATATATATTTATATATACGGATTTTTTCTCCTTAGATGTTTATAAAATGTACAGCGATTAATTGTGAAAATGAGAAATGAGTTGTAAGAACAATTAATTTTTAGATAGTAATTTTCATTATACTGTAAATGAAAAAAGAAAATAGAATAGTTTTTAAAATTACAATTTTTAAAGTTTTTATATATTTGTATTACCTTTCTTATCTATCATATTCCCGATATCTCCGAATTTAAATTTGTATAAGTATCGGCGGGAGGCCAAAAGTTGGTCTCTGCAGAGAGAGTTTTTTAGCGGGTGCGAATCCCGCATATACCCCACCGGACCGGCCAGTATTAAATCAAACAATAAAATAAAATTATTTGGAAATAAAAATAGTGTTGGAAAGTCTTAGAAAGTACATTAACCTCTACTGGATATCGCATGTAAAATAAAGATATTCTCGTTACGTACGTAATATGCATTGAACACTAACGAATAGGAATTATTTTCAAGAATTGTTTTTGTTATTATACTATATTTTGTACACGCACACACAGTTATTTTTATTATTATACAATATAATATATACTGGCATTTTATTACGTATATATATCGGATATCGAATGTAATCAAATGCAATGTGATTTTTCTAGTTCAAATCAGCTGTTTTGTAACGTTGTCAATTCCTGCAGCATCAATAATTTATATATATAGTGTTAGAAAGTCATTATATATATATATATAT